GAGGTGTAGCACTCTGAAACCAAGGAAGTGTTTTTGTTAACTTGAAAATGTAGACATCATCTTGTAGGGTTTTCTTTTCTTTGTTTTCAATTGTTTTTTGTTGGGAGCTGTTTCGTTAATACCCTGTGTATGGAAGTTTTTACTTTATTTTATTTAAGATTTAGTTATTTATTTAGAAGGCAGAGTTCCAGATAGAGGGAGACAAAGAGAGGAAGGTACATCTTGCCTCCACTGGTTCACTCCCGGAATGACTGCAGTGGCTGGAGATGGCCTGGTTTAAGGCCGGGAGCCAGGGGCTTTATCTGGGTCCCCATGTTGGTTCAGGGGTCCAAGCACTTTCCAAGGCAGGTATGCAAGGAGCTGGATCAGAAGTAGCCAAGACCCAAAGTACATTGTATGGGCTGCCAGCACCTTTGTTTGCTGTGCGCAGCACTGGCATCATTGGATGTTGTAAAGACTATTCATACTGAATCTTTGGAGGGTGGCAATAAAAAGGGGAAAAAAAAGTAAGGAGCTGGAGGAGTTGCTCATGATTTCGCCAGATTTGTCTTAATTTAAACGAAATTGTGATTTTATCAGAATGAAGACTATCATCACTTTTCTCTATCCATCTTTTTAAAACTTAATTTGCTGAGCTTTCCTTTTGCAAATTTATTTTTATTGGTGTGCATTGTTAATCATCTTTAATTTCCTCCAGAAAAGAAACACCCTTGAATTCAAGAATGATTTGGCGAGCTCCTGTAGTTACAGGTAGCTTTGCTTCCCATTGGCGGTTTGCTTGGATCCTGATGGTCTTTAGCTTTGGTTCACGTTCCCGTTCTACCCTGAAGCAGACGGGCTTGTCTGGACAGTCATGTGTTGATGGTCCTTGGTCCCAGAGTGGGATTGTTCCTGTAACAGGGGAGCAGGGTGCCAGTGTTGTAGGTTTAGAGTAAAGAGTTCTCTGAGAGACAGACGGGAAGGGATGCGGACGGAGAGCCTAGGCTGGGTGTGGCACAGAGCTCCCGACATTGGAGGCGCTCAGAGCCTTGCTGCTGGAGCCTTCCCGTGGCCGTCCCATTAACCAGGCCAAAGTGGTCAGAGCATCTTCATTGATGGTTAGAGGCCATCTTCCCTTCCCACAGGCCTGGAGTGGGAGTTAACGTTACCTGGCATTTGCTTTTGGTGACCAGGCCCCTTCCTGAGGTTGTGTAGATTCCTTTTCCTCTCTTTCTCTATTGAGTCATCTCACTAACATAAAAATAGATTCCTGAAGTTTTATGAGATCTGTTGCCAGGAATTCAGTCTAAAGACTGAATGTTTAGTTTTTGTTAAATTTCAAATCTTTTACTGCATTACTCCAAATTTTACATATATAAATATTAAAGTGGAGAACATATATGTATTTTACAGATTTACTTTTATTTGGGAGATAGATTTACAGAGAGAGAAGGAAAGACAGATTTTTCCGTCTATGGTTCATTCCCCATGTGGTTTCGGTGGCTGGGTCTGGGCCCATCCCAAGCCAGGAGACAGGAGCCTCTTCTGGGTCTGTGGTGTGGGGGCAGGGGGCCAGGGAGTTTCGGTATTTTTTGCTGCTTTCCCAAGGATGTTCGTAGGGAGCTGGATAGAAAGTGGAATAGCCAGGACTTGAACCCAGGACTTGATGCTGGCATTACAGGTAAAGGTTTAATCTACTAAACCATGGTGCTAGCCCCATGAATACTTCTGCATTTAACCACTATGTGATGTTAAAATTTTATATACATAACTTTTCTATAAACATTTGTATAAAATATAAGTTAAAGTGAACAGATACACATGATTTTGATTTTTTCTTCTTAATTGAAAATTTGTTATACTGTTTGATGTTAGACTTGGTTGGTTATAGAATTAACATGTTACTCACTAATCCAAAACAAATTATGAAAAATTCTCTTGAAAAAATATCATTTACTAGGACTGGGATACCCTTTAAAAAAACCTGGGTTATCTTGGAGGTTTATTTTTTCATTTTGATATTTAATTTCGGTTGTGGGCGAGTGATTTTTTTAAAAAAAGATTTATTTATTTACTTGAAAGGCAAGGTTACAGAGAGAGACCTTCCATCTGCTGGGTAGCTCTCTAAGTGGCTGCTGGACTAGTCTGAAGTCAGGAGTCCCAAACTGCATCTGGGTCTCCCGTATGGGTGCAGGGGCCAAGCACAGGGGCCGCCTTCCACTCTTTTCCACAGTGCTTCATCAGGGAGCTGTATTGGAAGTGATACATCCAGGACAGGAACTAGTGTGGGCTGCGGCCTAACCACAACGTCGGTCCATGAGGGATGCTTTGCCTCCCAGAGGATATTTGATAAGCTCTGTTGTCACAGCTTGGGGATGGGGATTGATATGTCACTCAACGGGTCTTTGTAGTCTAGGGATACCGTTAAAAACCCTGCCTTGCAAACCAGAGCACTGTCACCCCATAACAGCTATCTGGTCCCAAATGTCAACGGCACTAAGGCTGAGGAAACTTGCTTCAGCTCGGTGTGGGAGTCACCAGTGTTTAGAAGGTAATCGAAGTGATGACACTGAATAGTCACCTCATCTTAGAATCCACTCTTCTTCACCTGTGGAGCCTTACTCACTCAATTGATTCTGGTACAACTAGGAAGAAAATCAAAGACTTACACAGCACAGCATGTGTGCCAGTGTAAACACAGACAACAATTTGAGCTATAGCAGAAAGAAATATATTTGAATTAGCAAGGTGATTTTGTGAACAAAAACTAGGCTCCCTGAAGATGTAAGCGTCAAGTTTCATAGGAGTTGGCTTTTGCAAAAATTAAGAATCACTAAATTTTGAGGAAGGTCTGGGGGGAGCATTTGAAAGAAGGTTTGCTACATGTGTGGCATTTCCAGGTAGAGGTGGAGATTTCACGTAGCACTAAAGGGGCTTTGGCTTTATGTCCCAAGGGTGAAGGTGAGGATGCAGTTGGCAGCTGGTACTTGTGTGCACAGCTCCTAACCCAGTTTTAGTCAGGTTGGGCTCTGTGTTTACTGTTGATGGGAATTCACAGTGTGAGTGTTTCTTGTACCAGACACCTGCGATTGACTGTCTAGAAGGCAACTGGTTGATGTTTATTAGGATTAAAACAAGCTGAGGGGTGATGGGTTTTTAAAGACACCTGTGTCCCTTGTCACAGTGCCAGCTTCTGGCCCAGTGCAGTTCCTGGGCGGCGACAGTGATGGTTGGCTGTACCCATGTGTTAACCCTAGGTTGTACCCCTGACTCCAGGCTCCTGGACTGTAGCTTCCAGCCCATCCCAGCCGGCTCTGAATGTTGCTGTATAGTAGGGAGTGAGTGAGTGAGTGGAAGCCCGTTCTGTATCTCTGTGCCTCTTGCGTAAATATATAAAGTCCTCCCCCTTTTTTTTTTTTTTTTTAAGAAAGAAGGGCTGTTGCTTTCATTGATAGAGAAATGGTTCTCACTTCTGTCTCCAGCCACTTAGTGAGATGTCTGACTCTAGCAGTGCAAACTTCTTAAATATGTCTTGTTAGCTAAACTGTGTGGTTTGAGGCGGGGAAGAAGTAAAAGCTTGGATTATCTCCATCATGTTATACACTTAGCGAGGACTTCCTCTATGTCCTTTGGGAAGTATAGGTTGAGTATCTCTAATCTGCAAAATCCAAAATCCTCCTACATGATAAAATGTTTCAGACTTCAGAACATCAGAATTTTCTAATTAGGATTGCTCAGCTCTAAGTTCTATACATATACTAACAATCTGAAAAACTCATATGTACAGCACTTCTGGTCTGTGCATATGCAATGAGGGTTGACTGTATTTGTATTCACAATAAAAAGTTCAGGCGTTTGGTTGTACATTATGAAAGTACTTGGCATTGCAGAGCCATGTGCACCTACAAATTATGATAAAACTGTACCGAAGTCACATATCCAGTTCTGCATAGTTCTTATGTTGGGTTCTGGAATAAGAGGGCACTTCCTCATGGAAAAAGCATATTACAAAGAAAACTGTATGGCTTTCCTTTTTCTTTTTGCATAAAATCAGCTGACTTCCATATTGTGTACAGTTTTAGAAGTACTGTTGAATTTTCTAGGGCTTATGTTTTTTTTTTTTTTAAAGATTTATTTTTATTATTTTTTCATTGGAAAGGCGGATATACAGAGAGGAGAGACAGAGAGGAAGATCTTCCGTCCGATGATTCACTCCCCAAGTGAGCGCAACGGGCCGATACTATGCCGATCCGAAGCCAGGAGCCTCTTCCGGGTCTCCCACGCGGGAGCAGGTTCCCAAAGCTTTGGGCCGTCCTCGACTGCTTTCCCAGGCCACAGGCAGGGAGCTGGAAGGGAAGCGGGGCTGCCGGGATTAGAACCGGCGCCCATATGGGATCCCGGGCGTGCTAGGCGAGGACCTTTAACCACTTGCGCCACCGCGCCGGGCCCTAGGGCTTATGTTTTAATTTTCTTGTACTGTTTTCCATTAGTTAAGAGATGATATCTAATTCTTTCCCAAGTACCTCTTTTCAAAGTATATAAATCATTTTTTGCACCATTTTTATCTGCTGGCTCATCTGTCAAATGCCTGCAAGAGTTAGGACTTGATCAGGCTGCAGCTAGGGACCCAGAATTTCATCTGGGACTGTTTATGGGGTGGCATGTACCCACATGTCAGGGCCAACACCTTCTGTATCCCAAAGCTGTAGATGAGCCGGAGGCTGGATCGTAAGCCGAGCGGGTATCGAAGCAGACGCTTGTATATGGGTTGTGTACGGTCCCTGGTGGCTGCTTGGCTGCTGTGCCGAGTGCCTGCCCCATTGCCCTCATCTTAGGGCGGGATGGATTGATGTCAAACTATAATTGAATTTTATCTTAATAAAGCTAAAATATTTCATTAATTTCTCAATGAAGTGTGCAGTTTGTAGTCATTGGATGTTAAAAAATGTCTTTTAGTGTCAGGTTCCCTCAGTGTAAAGTTTACTTAGTCTTGTTTGTGTTGTTTTTCTCTTTCTAAATAGGCTTTCAAGGAAATGCTGTACTCGGCTCAGGACCAGGCACCTTCTGTGGAAGGTAAGGTGAATCAACCCTCAAGTTTAGAACAGAAAAGCACGTTTCAGGGGAGCGTATTTTAAACTGCAAAGTATAAAATTACTTGAATATCTGTGATGTAATACGAATCTTAGTTGCTTTTGCTAATATATATTACAGTTGTTTTATGTGTTAGCCCATTTTTCTTTCTTTAGCTCACACCCTGTAATGAATCTTGAATTACTTTAAGGCTGAATGATGCTTATTGGTATAGCCAGATATGTTTTTGTGACTTCTTTCTCTGATGTATTTTTATTTTGTGCCTTCCTCCCTTTTTTTCTTAATTTAGCATTTTCTTTGTATTTATATCATTGCTTTAGAATTCAGTGGAATGTGCTTACTTACTGCTTCTGTGCGCGTGCGCAGTGTGGTCTGCGACCCCGAGGCGGTTGTTATCTGTTCAGTTGTTTGTGTTGATCTTAACCTCTGCAGCTGTCCCTGGCTCCTGCTCACTGCCCCTTCATTCTTGAGGGAGTGTTCCCTCAGTGGCTGGCTGGGGTTTTTTTTTTTTTTTAATTCTGCATAATAGTTTCAGAAGAGATGAACATGAAAAAAAATGTGTATCAGGAATATTGTAGATTGTGTTTTTGTAGTAATAACATTATGGCTTATTAAACTAGTACAAAATCATAGTAGTGACAAGGTAGTAGAAGTTTATTTTTATGACATACAAGATATGCCAAAGTTGTTTAATAAAGATTAAAAATTTTGTTTCTTCAGTGATACAGAAATACACGTCTTCCAGGGCCAGTGTTGTGGTGCAGAGGGTTAAGCTACTGCTTGTCTCACTAGCCTCTCATATTGCAGTTCAAGTCCTAGCTGCTCTGCTTCTCGTCCAGCTTTATGGTAAAGGCCCCGTGAAGGCAGCAAATGGTGACCTAGGCACTTTGGGCCCCATTGCCCAAGTGGGAGAACAGCTGGAGTTCCTGGCTCCTGGCTTCAGCGTGGTTCAGCACTGCTGCTTTGGCTGTCAGGAAGGGAACTAGTGGATGGAAAAATCTCTTTATTTTTCTGTCTCTTCCTCTTTACTCTTCTTTCTCAAATAAAATAAATCTTTAAAAAATAATAGAGATATGCAACTTACCTCTCAAGCCATCTTGATTTAAAAATCTGTTTCCTCTTAACATAAAATCTTTACCACTAAAAACCAGACTATTCAAAATCTTATTAATTTGATAATGAATTGTTGAATTTTCTACTACACTGTGATTTTGTGCTATTAACGTAAGACACAGATTTATGGAGGTGCTCATTTCTTTACTGGGTTATCTCTAATGCTGTGTGCCCTAAAGAATACTTCCTGTAAGATTATAAGAAAAGTGAAATTATGTGTTGATTCTTTCTCTGTGTAACTTGCTTTAATATAGATTCTTTTGGTTTTAGAGAGGGCTATTTATCACTGCTATTATTGTATTTAAAGTTTGACTGTCTGATTTGTAATGAAAATGCCTTCTGTTGAAAGTTACCATGGTAGCACCCTCCTGCTGGAGCAGGTTCCCAATTTTTTTCATTTGCTTTCTTCCATTAGAAAAAAAAAAGTTGAATTCTGTCAAAATATCTTTAAAGTGACAGGTCTTTATAGTTAAGAACTTTTTCTTAATATCATTACGTAGGGGCAATAATATCTTTAAAACCTGTTATGGAGGGAATTATATAGGTTGATTACGTAGGATTTTGTTGCTTTTACAATGAAAATAATTCTGCAGTAGTAAGGGTTAGGTATTTTTTTATGTAAAGTTTGGATATGTGTGAGGGGGGGGAATGGGTGTAGGGTGGGTGGAGAGGAGGTTTATGGTGTTTTGCGGTTTGGTTGTGTTTGGGGGAAGGGAGATGGGTATTGATGAGTTTGGAAGGTACTGGAGGGGGATTGAATGGTGAAATGTGGGAAACGGGGAGTGGAAGGGATGTAAATATTAAAGAATGATAAAGGAGTGGGGAAGGGTTTGATGAGTGGTATAAATTTGAAGGGAAAATAGGGGATACAATTGTGGGTTAAAGGTGGTGGGTAAGGGAGACTGCTGTGGTGTCAGATGTGATGGGGGAATGTAGATAATGGGGTGTGTTTATGAGGTAGGTTGTTAGTAAAGATGGAGACGAAGAGAGTTGTGAGGTAGATGTTTGTTTTTTTATATTTTATTTATATTTATTTTGGTTGTTGTTTTTGTTAGTTTTTGGGTGTTGTTTGGTTATGGGTTGTTTGTGTTTAAGGGGTTTTTGGAAAGGGGTTTGAAAAAATAAAAGAAATTAACAGAAAACATGTGTGTGGAATGAATAATTGAGGTTTGAACATAAGGATTGTGATGTGGTGTGGTTTGTTTTTTGTGAGTTTTTTTTTGTTATTTTGGGAGGTGGGTGGTTGGGGGTAGTAATTCTTGATTGATGTAGTGATGTGTGTGGTATATGTTTGTTAGTGTGGTAAGTGTTTTGTGGGTGTTTGGGAGGCTGTGGGGGGGAAATGGTGGGTGGGGTGATTAAGAATGGGTGTTGATGGGTGGGGTTTTGATATGGATTTTATGGTGGGTTGATTAGTTTTTATTTATTGGTATGGTTTTATGGGGGGGAGTGGGGTGATTGGGGTTGGGGTAGGTGGTGATATGTATAATGTTAGGGTGGGGGAGTTGTGGGAAGACTTGTTAGATTATTAGTGGAATAAGGAGGATTAATGTGTTATTTGGGAGTGTAAGTAGGGGGTTGTGTTGAAGTTTAGAGGTTTGAGAGGGATATATATGTGAGGGGGTGTGGAGGGATAGGGGGATGGATAAGTTTGGGGGGGTGGGGTGTTTTTGAGTGTTGTTATTGTTGGTTTTTTGAGGGTGTTGTTTAATGTTCCTTTCACGTAGATATTGTTGATTTCTTCATTCTTTGACATAGGTTAACTGTCAAGGTTCTCATAATTTTCCATTGCAAATACATGCTGGAAGAAGACTGGTGTTCTAAACAAAAGACATAGTTATGAAAACGGTAAATGAGTTTTGAGGCTTTTCTTGAAATGAATCCAGAGTAAAAAGTAAAATTGACAAGTATAGTGTATAAATAGCATATATCTAATTTCAAACACATGCTAGGAAAGAGGGCAAGTAAGTTTCTAAAAAAAAATATACTCTCCCCCTGAAAAAAACCAACAAAGCAACAGGAACAGCACCAACAGCACCAAAAGCACGAACAGCACCAACAGCACCAAGAGCACCAAGGACGACCTGCAGACTGATGAACTTCTGCCTAGGTAGATCTATTCCGTTAGGTGCACACCTTTCTGCTGGTAGACGTTTGGGTGGCAGCTGGTGATGGCTCAGGCGCTTGGGCCACTTCCCTTCGTGCACCTGCTGTCTGTGCCTGGCCTAGCTCCTGGAGAGTGATCCAGAGGACGAAGGCGCGCCATTGAAAGCGAGCATTTGGTATCAGTTTCATCTCCTTTGATGTATTCCATCAGCTTTTGCATGTAATCCATATTTTTGTGTAACCATTTGGAAATGTATTTGAGGAAGATCAGTTATAATTCTATTAGGGATCTTCAGAAAGTGCATGGAAAATAGGTATTATAAAAATTGTGGATGGATATCAGTTTTTTCCACAAAAATAATTTTATAGTTTCCTTTTTTCTATGAGCTTTTTGAAGTATACTTGTATGTTAAGGTAGTATAGTGTATTTTTAAATAATGGTGCATAAGTAGCAGCAACTTTAAAAATTTTTTAAAATTTTTTTCCGCTGGAGACTTGTACACAGAGAGTGCATAGTAATATTCTATATCTACTGAATAAAGTAGAAAAGTGACTAAAATTAAAAAAAAAAGCCATGGCATTTTGTATGGTTTCTAGAAGCTAAGTATAAATGTGAAGATTAGAAGAGAGGATGATTTCAAGATCTGAGTAAGTTTGTATCAGTTCCTGAGAGAACAGCATCTTTTACTAAATACGAGATTTAAGAGAAATTCTTGCTGTGGACCCTCATGAAGAGTCACCTGTGTGGTGAATGGAATCTTCAGTAATTTTATAAGAAGACAGTGACAGTTGTGAAAGGCTGCTTCTTGTAAGTCAGCGATGCCATGGAAACACTGCTGGGATCTACAGGTCCCTGAATAACCGGCTCCATGTTTATGACTCCCTCTTCGTTTCCTGATACTTTTCCGTTCCAGTCACTCTGCCTTCTTGTGACCGAGGTGAGACCAAGCTCGCTCTCGCCTGCTCCTGAGCCTCCCCGGGTTGTTGCATGGCTGTGACCTTCTAAGAGGCCTGCTTGAGTACCCCGTCTGATGCAGCCACTCAGACATTGCATGTTGGATCACCCTGTTTTATTTATTTATTTGAATAGCTTTGATGATTTTCTGGCGTCTTAGCGTTTAAAAAATGATGTTTTAATTATCTCTTTTGCTTGTAAGTTTTCAGACACCAGAAAATTTTTTTCCTGTTGTTTAATATCTAATGCAGACAAATGGCTTATTTACTGAGCACACCAGTGAGTAGGAAAAAAAAAATAAGTACTTTTCCTAATTTTCCTTGAATCTAAAGTGATAAAGTTTTCATGTGTGTATGTTTGTAAAAATGTGAACTTTGTCATTCTCCTCTTTCACGTGTAGATACTGAACTTCATCTGCTGGGTAAATGGTTAAGCATATTGTTTGGTGTTTTTATATTGCTGATGTTGTAATTTTACGAGGGAAGCATCTGACATCCTAGTGTTGTAGGTTATGTGTTTTGGTGACATTGTATAACTTTGCAGGGGATATTTTGCCCTGGTGCCATGTCTTGTAAAGAATACTATGTATATTTTACAAGTCACTAAATTGCGTCTTTTTGTGATTTTACATACTTATTGTGCCTTGTATAAAGAGAAATGAAATAGGGATCATTATGGAAGATAGATGTGAACTGGTAAAAAAGTTTCTGTGTTGCTTCTTCAGTCTGTATTACTTGAATCAAAATGCAAAGACCTACTGTTCGACAGTTTTGCATTGTGCTTCTCTTATAGTGCATTCCTCTTGAGG